AGAAGAATCCTCCAGAGAAAATAGGCCAGACAGACAGATGGACAGGGAGATGGAGGGAAGGAGAGATAGTGGGAGGGAGAGTGGAGACTGGTGTGGTGGTGGTGGGGGTGGGGTGGGGGGGGCAAAGTCAGACACAAAGAGAAAGCGAGAGATGACTAGAGGGATCCTGGGAAGTCCAGGTGGATTTGAGCAGAAAGGGACGGGGGGGGGGAGGGGGGTGAGCACCTGAGCACCTGAAGAAAAGATAAGAGCGACAGAAAAGGAAGAGGAGTAGATTCAGAAAGAGACAAAGAAAAGCAGCTCAGAACGAGGGATTACTGAGTGTGAGATGGTGGCCGGCTGTCTGACGGAGAAAGAGACAGAAGATGGGTTGAAAAAGATAAAAAAGGGAGAAAAGAAAAGAAGCTGCAACATGATTATTTACATCTTGGAAAACTTTAAATCGGCTGCTCAGATAACGTTGCAGACTGACCTTCATATTTCCTGCTCTCTGTGTTTCTGATGGATGTGTGTGTGTTTTACTTTCCCTCCCCGGTTGAAGAATCATGACATTAAAGACACTACAGTTTAATAAATCAAAGGCAGATATAGAAGCAAGGTGGAGCGGCTGTAAATCAGTCCTGGTTTAAACGTGTCACGCAGCGATAAGAGCGAGTCTCTGCCAACCTGAGCTGTAAATAACCGAAATGTCGTCTTCAAAGTCTGTAAAAAGAGAAATGTTGTTCTGGCTGCGTCTATGACTAACTATGTTTTCATGTGGAGCTGAATTCACAGTGAGGTGCTGAGAAGAAAGAGAGCCTGACTAACTTTGAAACAGACGACAGGGACTCAGAGTTTCTCTCTGCGGGGATTACCCAAGTTTGTATTAAGTTTACGTTCGACAGTATATTTACTTCTACACGCTCTGTGGCCTCCTTTCTCCTCCTGACTCTGAAACACAACACTTTGTCAGACGCAGCGAAATGAGATTTCTCTTTCCTTTGGTACCGGTACAGACACACCAGATGATTACTCGGTTTTTTGGCGGTATTTTTTTTAGCCGTGCTAGCTGTGTAGCACCGCTGCTCTGCTGGGTTTTCAGTCGGTTGCTTCACTTTGGTCCAGACTGAAATATCTCAACAACTACTGGATGGATGGTCATGAAATTATCTGCACACGTTGCTTCTCTCCGGAGGATGAATCCCAGCAACTTTGGTGATCCCTCGACTTTTCCTCTAGCATGTTAGCATGTTTGCAAGATGATGAACGTGTTAAATGTTGTTAGCATTTAGGTGGAGGCACTGCTGTGCCACTTTACAGAGCTGCTAGCATGGCTGTAAACTGTTAGTCTTGTTTATGTGTTTGTGCATAAAAAACAGCTGTGCCTCATCGGTACCGCCGCTATCAGAGTCACAGTCTTTTATCTTTCTTTGTCTTGTATTGTTTGCCGTAATCTTGCTCAAATTAGAGCAACTGGAAACTGAAAATAAACACCTGACACAGGGAGACAGGAAGGCTGATGCTCACCTGTAGGAGCTGCTTTACTCACAGTTTCTAGATGTTTTTGAGAGTAAGACTCTTTGTTTCCAGTAAACTGTGACTAACCTCTGTACTCTGTCCCGCCCTGGTCTGATGTGTGTGTCTTGTGTGTAAACATTAAATGTAACCTACACATCCAACAAAAGTTTAAACCAAATTTAGCTGCGTTTTTACCAACATGGCAGAATATCCTCCAGCTGAGAATCAGCACTGACTTCTGGGACATGTGTGTTCTCTCTTTCAAAGTAAACATCTTTATCCTTCTTTAATCCAGTTTACTGTAATAAGTATCTGCCACTTGTTGGCCTGTTTTTCTTCTTCTTCTTCTTCTTCACCTCCTGCATATCAAAAGTTTATTTACCATTCCTCGGCTCTCACATGAGTCCAGCAGAAAAACATCTTCAGCACTGTGTTGTTACAGTAACATGGCCATATATGGTTCTGACCACCACAGCGCCTCTTGTTTGGATGATTACAGGCTCGGGTGAATTCACAAATGGGTTTTTATCTGTTTTTTTGTTTTATCTAATCGCCATCCGATCACCCCAGTAAACATGTTCCCGCCAGGTTTAGAGGGAGACTCTTTCATCTGGACTGAAATGGCTTCCACCGGCCGGGCTGCACGGCTGTGAAGCTCTGCTCTGCAGGTTTAGATATAAATCTTCCTGTGCCCTTCTTCTGACTCTCTGGCTCATCTCCTCCTTGGAAAAAAAACTTTGAGGTGCTTTGGATGAAAGTGTTCACCAAACAGCAGATATATCATCCAGAGTAATAAAGCAGAACTGCCATTAAAGAAAAACAAAAACACTTTTAGACAAGAAGAAAGGGAGATAAATAAAGAAGAGATGATAAACGTTGTGATTAATGAAAGGAGTTGAAGACAGTGGGATTTTCTCTGAGAGCAGGAAAGAAATCGAGCTGGAAATGATAAGAGGAGTGAAGAGGAGAGAGAGAGAAGGTGGAGGGATGATGAACGGACGGAGCAGAGATAACTGCACAAACAAGATGTCTGCACCGTAATTTAAAAGAAGGAAGAAGGAAATTGAATAATGAAGGAAAGATATATTAAATAAGGGATGGAAGGAGGGAGCGATGTGTACGCTGCAGGCTGCAGACTACCCACAGTCCTCTCTGTCCTGAGGGGCTGGCTCAGTGTGTGTGTGTGTGTGTGTGTGTGTGTGTGAGTGTGTGTGTGTGAATATACAGTAAAGAGAGAGTGTGTGTGTGATGATATTAGACTTGCACTGCGGGGCTGTAGTTCCATGGAGGCCACCTGAAGCAGCAGGAACGACAGGAATGTGGGAATAGTGATACGCTTCGTCGTCTCCGTCACCACGGTAACACGACTGCCTCAGCGTGGGAGAGGAGAGGAGGAGTACAGCCGAGGAGATGAGAGGAGGAAAGAGAAGAAAAGTAGAGACACATTCAAACCTCGTTTTAAAATCACTGCGAAGGTTTCCAGACGCTTTGAATCTCAGCATCAACCTGAGTTTAAACCTTTTTATAGAGTTTCTGAGACTTTTCAAGTTATTTGCCGACCGTACCCGGGGAGCCGAGTCAAGTCACGTATTTATAGTTTATCACAGCGTGCCACACAGGAAACAAAGGCCTCTGTTCTCCACCGTTGTGATTGGATGATAAAAACATTCCCGACTCTTATCTCAGACTAAAGAGCAAAACAGAAAATCTTGAATCTTGAATTTATTGTGATTCAAATGAAGCGTGAAACTGGAGGTCGAGCTGTGACAGGAGACAACTGAATCACTGAGCATGAGCGGCACGAGAAATATGTTGAGAATGTGACGAACTGTGACGACCACGAGCTACGAGTCAAACCTTTGAACGCCCACACGAGTGTCTCGTACATCTTGAATGTTATTATTATGATTATGATTATTTGGGTCTGAGTGTCCCCAGATAATCCATAATTCATTTGTGATTCAAAAACAAACGTCTGTTCATTTTTTGTTTCCAAATCAAAAAACTTAAAAACAAAATGTTCCAATTTTGGTTTTAATAAATTTACTTTTTGTTTTAGAATTAAAAATCAAATAAAAACATAAATTTGATTTTCGGTTTCAAACTAAATAATGACCAAAGAAATCGCCCAAAACTAAAAACAGATGATGTTGATTGGTTTTTCGTTTTTCCTTCCTGTTTTGGTTTTGAAAAAAATAACAGATCTACATTTTTTAAAATTTTTGAATTAGAAATGAATTATTTATTATCTGATGATATGTTTGTGCGTTCGTTTGTGTCAGTTGGAGTTCGGCCTAGTGGAAGTCAGCGACACTGCAACACAGCGTACACAGTTTTCTTCTAAACAAACACAGTGACGTGTTTTATTAGTAATTAATTCAGTTTGTTTGTGAGTGTGTAAATGACCTTTAGAGGACGTTTCTGCCACCTGTTTGTTTGTTTGTCTGTTTCCTGTCAGTCATTTGGGATGTGCTTTGATGCCGCTGTAATTTTGGATTTCTAAAAGGACATTGATCGTCCTGAGGAGAGAAGCAGTAGGTGTGTGTTTTATGTTACTCACAGTTTCTCCGACAGCACAAAGTTAATTAGAGTCTGTGTGACACTGACGGACTCTCACTGAAGCTCAGACATTATAAGATGGGACACGCTCAGCAGAGCGTTACTCCACAGTGTCCGTGCTGCTCAAACCTCTGCAGGACACCTTTAATTAAACCTTTGTGTCATGTAGTTTTTATTTATAGTAAATTATCTTTTACCAGTATTAGAGTTGATTGGCTGTGTTGCCAATAAAGTTTTAATTAGTGTCATTTATCAAAGCAACAGTTCAAAGAATCTTTATCTCTTTATAATTTGTCAAGATCAGACACTTGATGTCTGATGAGATCTTGAAGTTCAATCGCCAGAACACATTTAAAAAATCCACAGCTGAGTCACATTCAAACCGCTGGTTTATGACTTTCATGGTTTTAAAGAGAGAAAATCCTCACGCCACCCGATGGCGCCGTGTGAGGGACGACAGGCGAGCGACACCAAACACATCGAATGTGATGAGGCTGTGTGTGTGTGTGTGTGTGTGTGTGTGTGTGTGTGTGTGTGTGTGTGTGTGTGTGTGTGTGTGTGTGTGTGTGTGTGTGTGTGTGTGTGTGTGTGTGTGTGTGACAGCAGGTGTTGTTCTCCTGTGGCCGACTCGGCGCTCAGCTCTCCCACTGTGGCTGCTTATTAACGGCTACAGATTCATTACAATCAGCCAGTCAGCCATGCTGCCAGCACGCCCGCCTCTATTAGTCACACAGTCAGACTGATAAAGAGACACACACACACACACACACACACACACACACACACACACACAGGCATGCACATAATGAATACCAAACACCACCCCTCACACACACAAACAGTTTACTCCAACCTGTGCAACAACATCTTCAACACCTGCAGTAAAGTTATAAGTTATTTTTCACTGTGGTTTAATTTGTGTTTTCTTTATTCTCTCCATGCAGAGGACATCTTCATCCTCCAGGGGAAAGACAAGAAGAACCCTCTCATCTACGGCCTGTTCACCACCTCCAGGTCTGTACGACAGAAAACAACTTTAACTTGTCGTTCTGGAATCTGCACCCTTGTGTAAATGTTGAACAGTAGGGAGGGACTGGTAGAGTCTTAAATTTCCACTGGGTGTAGAAATGTTGTTTCTATTGCTCATAGTGGGGAAAAAAGCAGTGAATCATTGGTATTGATAAACAGCCCCATCAGATATTTTTAGACTCGTCTTTCCTCTGAGTGTCAAATGTAGAGTAGAAGAGAGCAGACTACTGGAGCTGTAATAAACGTGTATATGTGATTTTAGAAACGAGTTGTGATAAATATGATGTCTGTAAATGAACAGAGGCAGGAGGAGGATAAATACTGTCTATCATCACAGCCACAAACTAAACTGCAGATAACAACTAGGACGTTTTCAAAAGGGAAAAATTAAGTTTGCAATTTATTTTTTTAAGCTGGTTTATTAACTTTTCCTTCAAATACTGAACAAATCAGCGTCGTCCTGTATTTCATTTCATAATGATGGAAGTTCTGTGGCGTGATGTCCCTGTAGCTGTGTCCCAGTGCACGAGCCGCATCCTTCAGAGGACGAAGGTGTGGTCCTCCGTAGACCACCAGGGCTGAACGGAGGATTTCCGCTGCACGTCACCAGCTGTTCCCGCCCCTTACCGCTGAGGTTTTAAGGCTCTTGGTTTTAACAGTTGTACCGTTAGCTGTTGAAACACCATCCTGACATTTAACAGTGTAATCCTTCAGACTCGCTGTCAGTGTTGTTTGCTTTCATCACCGATCCACCTGTCGGATCCTTCGCCGTCCAGGAAAAGACGGACGCACTTGAAGGAGCGTTTTTAAATGGGACAGTCCGCTGGGACGCAGTCGGTCTTTCAATGCAGCTTCTGTGAAGTGTGACACACATGATGATGATGTATGATGTCACACACTGTGAGATACACCCAGGGTGTAAGGTCGTCCGTCACTGTGACCCATGAATGAAACACATTCAGACATCATCATCCTCATCATCATCATCATCATCATCATCATCATCAGTGCTCTGGCAAGTGACATGGCAAGTCTTACAGCTGTGTGTGTGTGTGGGTGTGGGTGTGGGTGTGTATGTGTGTGTGTGTGTGTGTGTGTGTGTGTGTGTGTGTGTGTGTGTGTGTGTGTGTGTGTGTGTGTGTGTGTGTGTGGGTGTGTGTGTGTGTGGTGGGAGAGGTTAGAGTTTGACCCACATCATATTTTCCTCACACACAAACAAAGACACTCAGAGTCTCTCATTTAAAGACAGAACGTCTCTTTTTGAGGAGACATCAAAACAATAAAAATAAAAACAGTCCAAATATACAGAGGTCGGAACATCAAAACACAACACTGATGATGTGCAGCTACAAACTTGATTAAAGACCATGAGACAAAACATGGAAAATATGAAGCAGCTCTGAACTTGGCTCCATCAGAGTCCAGAGACAATGTGCTTTGTGTTAGTATCTGCAAAATGGGAATTTGCTCGCATGTTAGTGAGAGACATTCATAACAGAGAGGAAGAGGAAAACATTTTTCTTCTCCGTCTGGGACAGAGCAGCGACACAAACACCTAAAGCTGCAGACAGACAGAGGGCTGGAAGAACGGCTGATATTCAGAGAGAGAGGCTCATTACGAGCGAAGCTGTGAAAGACGGATCACAGGTGAAGAGATGCAGAACACAGGAGAGAATAAAAAGGATAAGAATAAAATACAGACACCGGCTGAAAGTGAAGAAGAAGCCAGAACAAACGAGCGAGTGAGTAACAAACTAAAACAGTCTGCAGTTTGTCATTTTCTCCAAACGTACTGACGGCACCACACGCTCAGAGAATAACCCAGATTCAGAGGCGGACGCCAGAGCTCGACAGTAGCAGCAGCTAAAGTATGACAACACTTGGCACGGCCGAGCAGGGAGTTGGTCTGTTTTCTGGGTTTTGGAAAGTGTCTGGAATCTCAGCAGGGAACGGACAGAAATCCAAAGCATCACCCAGGGTGGGGTCCCAACCACAGAACTGCAGAGAGCAGAAAGGTCATTCCCTCTGAATGGAAACTTCTCTCTGTGGTACGGTCAGGATTTCACACACAGAGGGTTTTTGTCTCCTGTGATGAAGTCAGGACGGATTCTGTCTCCGTCTCCTGCTTTTATTATTCAGCTCTTCATTTCATATGTTTTTCAATTCAGTAACTTTTGGAAATTAAATGTTGTTTTAAACATTTTATAAACTGCACTGAATGTGTCGTCTGTGCAGCAGTGTGTTATGACATCATAGTTAGGTTCTGTTGCTAGGCGACATCTAGTGGTCGTAGTGATGATGACAGGAGCGAGGGGAAAAGTGTCGGTGACGTAGTTTTAAGAGAGACAGAGTCTACGTCAGGAGAAGGTGGATGGATGTGACACAGGAGAGCGGTTGTTGTTATTGTAACCATGACAACAGAGGTCGTCTAACGTAACCATCTTTTCTTAAACCTAACCAAGCCATGACCGTTACTACAGCAACCATGGCGACGGAGGTAGGTACGCCGCTGTCAGTGCAGTCGGTGTGTTCATTATTGTAACCATGACAACCAAGGTCCGGAACGCCCCCGCCGCCGTATGGACGCCGTTTTATTTCAGGAGACGCTCCTCAGTGTCGTATCAGAGCGCTGGCGGTCGACCAGCAGGAAAGTGTTCACGCATTATTCCAAGATGGCCACCTCCTCTTCTCGCCGTGTAGTCCGATCATTTAAATCACACAGATCCCGCTGCGTCACTTGGACCAGTTCGTTATTCAGTGAAACCAGATACAAGCAAACGGTGTGTAGCTTCTTTTAAATTGTTCAAATGGATTTCATTCATAAAAACATATATATATATGTTTTTATTTAAACTCAAAGATCATTGAGATTCATTTACAATGATGATGAGTAGATAAAAAAACACAGGTACAAATGTACAGATTGGATGTAACGATCAGTAACGTTGTCTGTAGTTCCTGACTTCACAGAACAGCTGAGAGGCAGAAGTGAACGTTTGTTATGATCATGTTGTTAATGGTTTGTTGTGAACACGACCTCTAACCTCCTCACTGACCCTGAAGCTCAGACTAAACACAGCCACCGTGATTCACGCTCGCAGCACGGCTTTTCTATCTGCTCTGTTTCTAGCAGCTGGAATCTTTAGCTCTGACACATGCTGCCAAAAATCTTGACCATGATGTTAACTGCAGTGGATGGGGTGTGTTGTGGTGGGGACTGATGTGCTAAAAGCAGCGTCCTCATCCAGGCTGGACGCTGGTTTGGAGCAGAGTCAGTGAATTGGTGCGTTCAAGCTGAAAAGCCACAATGACTCACAGCTCTTCGTACGGTGCTCCACTTTCTTATTTAACTCGCAGCTTAAAGACCAGCTCATGGAGCGAGGACATCAAAGCTCATGTTTTAGTGAAACAGCTGGAGAGATTCTTTGAGTCCGACTATATGATGAATGAAACTCTCCTTCCTCCTGTCTGATTCATCCTCAGTGATATTCTCAACGGTTCAGCGGTGTGCGTTTACCGGATGGAGGACGTCGTTCGAGCTTTCAAGGGAAACTTCCTGCATAAGGAGGGGCCTCAGTATAAGTGGGCGGAGTTCACAGGCAAGGTGCCCTACCCCCGACCAGGAACTGTGAGTTCATATTATATTATACATATTATAAGTCTCTGCTCTGGGCTTTGTGTTGAGGGGACATTTATTCACTATAAGATAATACACGGGGTTTATTTTACTCCTTCTACACTGCACAGGATGCGTTTAATGACCGATAATTTATGTAGGAAATGTCAGACAGAAATAGGAACATTTTTACATTTTGGGAAATATTTTGGTAAAAAGAAGTGGAACACAGGGAGGTGGGTGGACTTGATGATACCTGTATCACTGAGACTGTGTTTACTGAGGGACCAAACAGAACATATGAAAACGTTAGAGAAAGTATCATATGAACATATGAACGATTACTGAGCGTAAATCTGTCGTCTTTCCTTCCCTCTGTCTTTCTGTCTTCATCTCTCTCTCAGTGTCCCAGCAGCACGTATGGAAGCTACAGTTCGACCAGAGAGTATCCTGACGACGTCATCTTCTTCAGC